TGAATTCTGGCAGTTTTATTGGAAGACAACATGCAGAGACAAAGCTCTTTGGAGAGAGAGAAAGAGTTCCCACATTACTGTAGGCTTTAAATGTATTTCTGATATGCATCTGTAAGCACAGTCCAATTCTTGTGAAAAACACCATGCAGAGCCACAGCTTGAAGTGACCAGGATCTACAGCTAAATGCTAGAGAGTTCGTTATTTAAACAGGATTAATTGATCCTAGCTTAAGAAAAATGAAGGATATTTTCTGTAACAAACCAAGTACTATTAAATGCTGGATAGCTGGCAAGCTCGTTTGGTTCTGTTTTTATTGTGTATATGGAAGGTCATATGTGGTTAATTGCTCGTTCAATAAACAATTCAGCTTCAAAATAGTATTTTGTTTTTGTCACCTCTAAGTAGATGATTTAGAAGACGAACATCATGAAAGAAACAAAACTCAATGGAGAATCCCTGTGTCCAGGTGCTCACTTCAGCATTTCCTCAGGGATGCACTTGTTCCGTTCTGACGGCGTTACTAGCAAGGCACCTGCGCAGGTGAAGTCCGTAAGAAAGTGGGCACCTCCCCTGACTCCAGCGAGGGACACTGGGGCTCATTCCAGATTTGGAGCCTTTTAAAATGTGTAAGGAAGAGCTGATGGCCGCTAGGTCACACCGCTGTTGAGGATCTGATGTCAGGGAGCCCAGAGTGGGCGAGGGCTGGTGACACTGCGTTGCACGCGCATCGAGCGCTTGTCCTGGTGCTGGGATCTCTGCCACCAACCATGCAGGGTCGCGGACGAGAGAAGGTCTGGTGTTCAGCGGAGCTTTGTGGCTCTGCCCTTCTCAAAGGGCACCTTCTCGACCAGGGCACTCTGTTGCTGTGCTGCCTTGGCAGGACAAAGAGATAGTTTCCATTTTTATCCCTTTTTTTGTCTGACGTTCTTCACAGGCGTGAAATTTATAGCTGTTTTCTTTATGAAAAGGGCAAAAAGTACCCCAAACAACTGATCATACAAATTGGCTGATCCAACAAGCACATGCCTTTATAAAGTGTTTTGGTGAATATGCTGCAAAAGCTGGAAGATTGAGAACTGAGCCTGGTATAATTAAGTCTTTTCTTCCAAGCAAGAAAGCTGGTCCCTTCTTTCAGTTCTTTTGAAGGAGAGCTTGCTTTCAGGAATGTTATTGACAGCTGCATCTTTGACATGAAAGTGCTGGGACTTTTGCTGAGCTGCTCTGCCTTGCTGTCCTCCCAGGATGTTGTTTTCCTTTTCCTGGGTTATTTGTCTTTTGATTTCGTGAGTTAAGATAGGTTAGGGAGGGGGCTGTGCACCACGAGGCCTGGCCCAGGAGAAGTGGTAGTGACATCTCAGATCAGATCTGCTCTTCTCTCGATCTTGTCCCCCGAACAGTGCCTGGAGGATGGAGAGAAGCAGGATTTCACCTCCCAGGCATCAACCTTCTGTGATTCTGTGAACTTCTGGTGTATCACAAGGATGCCTGGCTGAAACAAGGCACTTGTGGGGGGATGGCAGCCCTTAACATGGGCTTACTGCATGCCCGGAGGTGAAATTTCCAGGTCTGAATCTCTGCATTACAGCTCACCAAAAAGTGTTACGGAGTGTTGGGTTTCACTGGCGTATTGCAGCACAGGGTGTAGCATTCAATAGTGAGAATTAATAAGGCCAGAAAAAGCTGTGTATTAGCAAGCATGCACAGAGGAGTATGCTGCTCCTCTATTAAGAGAGAGAGATTGCCAGAGGAAGTTACAAAGGTAGTTCAGGCATTTTTAATGTAATTTGTATAGCACCGTGGGGTTTATGAATATTTTTTCTAAGGGAAGCAGAATATAGCTTTTCTGCAGAGTGTAGCATTAAGATCATAGATATAAAATTGAATTCTGTGGAGGATGCAAAAGCTAGTCCTTCTGTTTTGATTCAGTAGTTTCGTTTGTTTGATTTGATTTTTGAACTAGTCGTGTTACAAATCTGCCATATGGCAACACTTTCGTAATGCTGGTGTACTTGTAGTCTTGTCATCAGGTTTTCAACTTCAGAGCACGCTGAGTTCTTTTGAAAAAAATCTTTTTTTTTTTTTCTTCCTTTTTAAGTTAAGACAGAAACAACAATAGGAATACATTTTGATGCTTTCACATTTTTGTGCTCTTTCAGTTTGAAAAACTACTTGTGTCTGTTTTAATAAATAAAAACAAATGAAAGGGGACTAGCAAACATTTAGGGACTTGCTGAATGCCTGTTGAGGTCAATGAGAAACTTTCCGCTGACTTGAGCGAGCAGGTTATTCATGGAGAACAGTCTAACAAATCATCACAGTGAATGATGTGCCAAGACTTGGGTTTTGTTTTCAAGCTTTATAATAAAATGTGGATAGGCATGTTTTTGTGTAAGCGCAGAATAGATGAATAAATAACAGTCCTTGTGCAGCACAAGAGCAGGGTGAGATGCAGAACTGAATGTAGTTATGTAAAAGTATCTACAAATACATAAACACAAGGAAGGATTGGGCAGCTTGTGGTGCTGAGACCCCCCCCCATATGGATTTGATTGCAGTGTGCATAACAGCTGCTCTAAGAAAATTCTGCTTTTAAATTGTATTTATTGACAGCTGCCTGTCAATGTGTGGAGGCTAGAATACAGATTAAGTACAAACCAAACCACCACCCTTGCATTTTACTGCTGAAATTCACGTGGCTGTTTACTGTGCTTGGCTGCAACCTGATACGCCCCATAGCTATAGCAGCGTGTCACGGTTGTTGGAAGCTGAAGCCTCAGTGCAGTAGGTCCCATTTATTTTGTCAATAAGGCCGTGACACGAGAGGACTTGTGTGATTTGTTGCCTGATGAAGCAATTATTTACATTTGAATAGAAGTCCAAATTGCATATTTTTTTGTGTGAATGACTTCTTTATTGGCTCATTAATCCCAAGTTGTAGCAGTCTCTCATTTATATTTCTGTAATAACCCCCAAACCAGCACGGTTCATATTTGGAAATGCTCACAAGCTTTTAAGTCGGTAATCTGCATGTTAAGCAGTCTCTGGGTTTAGTGTTGTCTCCTTGCAAAGAGCATCTAGGAGACACTCTTGTTCGTATATGTTTCCTTTCCCTCTAGGACCCATGCGTGTATTCAGATAAGCCCTCTCTTTGGTGCTGCAGTGGTGAGGGCAAAATGTCTTTATGGAGGAGACACGCAGAGGGAAATTAGTCTGTCTGCCTTCATCTCTCTTCCCCCTAGATATTTTGGTTAGGATGCATTGCTGTGAGAGAAAAACTCTGTGGGCTGTTGGTTTGACTTACAGACCTGAAGGGAAGAGCAGCTCTGACTGTTGCTGTTGGGGCTTCCTGCTGTGGCGTGGACCCATTGAACATTTCTCTCCAAAGCTTGCTGTGCTCCAAGTTTGTCATCACAGCATTAGGGGCACTCAAATCACCTTCTGTCTCTGTCACAGTTCATTCTGGATTGGTGTGTGCATGCATATGTACATACGTACCTGTGCGTATATGTATATGTTTGTGTGGGGAGGTGGCTGGGAGTGTTTTTTTCAGTGTTTGCATTGCCCACACTGGAACACTGTCCAGCTGTACTGCCTATCTCTGCTCTCATTTTGATGTTACTGGGAAGAAAAAGAAAATCTGGCATTGCCAGTTGTTGCAGGATTATGATTAATTTTGAGGTGATCAGTGCTCTTCCAAAAGGCTGAGCCTCTAATCAGTGTAATGTGCTGGAATTGATCCTCCTTCCCACTCTCCCATCCATGGTAGGGTCATAGTTTTTAGCTGTAGTGTCCCTTTATAGTGGGAAGAGCTCAAGGACTGCCTGTATGCAATAGCTGTGGTCTCTGAAGGTGTCTCTGTAGGGGTCTCCAATAGGTGGGATGCCTCTAAACCTGTATTTTTGGGTAGAGAATCTCAAAATCCACAAACCATCTGGAATAAAAATAATCCTTTAGTCTTTCATTTCAATAACTTTTTTTTTTTTTTTTATTCCTTTTAAAAAACAAACGCCTGAGTTTTAGGGACCTGGCTGGAGTTTTGAATGCCTGGGGATGATGATAGGGGAAATTCACAATTAATGTGAATCTCTGTTCGCTGGCTGCCAGGAACAGCCAGGCAACCCTTGCTCGCAGCTCTCCCTGGCCCCGCAGTGGCCTCTTCCAGCAGGTGTCCTCTTCTCCTCCAGCACCCATCTCCTGTGGCTCACCATGAGCACGAGGAGTCTGCCCAGCTATTGAGGACAGGGGATGGGTTGGTCCCAGTGGCAGGAGACCTTGGAGCTCCCTGGGGCAAGGGCAGCCTCCTGCGGCTAAGCCCATTCCCTAGGGCAGCTTGTATTTTAATATGCCATAAGGCACTGAATGGGCAGGTGAAAGTCGTGTGATCCAGATCTTCTGGGGTTTTGCAACATTTTCTTGTGCTTGTGCCCTGCCACTGGGCACGCTTTGTGTGGCGATTGCCTAGGAAGGTGTGGTGAGTGAGGAAAACACGGTCCTTGTATTGAAATAAACTCATACTTTGCTTTCATAGTTTAAATTTAGCACAGTACCTTTGGCTGCACCTCAGCATTTTTTCAGTGGTTAGAGATGGTTATCTTACCAGAAAGTTTCCCTGCTGGGACATATCCATGTAGCTGATACTGTTTTCCTTTTAAAGTACGTGAGCTGGCTTCAAGTCGGGTTTGTTTGGGATTTTTTTCTGCTCCGTGCACAGATTGCAATAAATTGTTTTTATGATATATTAGTGACCTGCCGGGAGGTGAGATGCCCAGATTAGGTGATTTACTTATTGCTATTAAATAATGTAGAAAGTCAGAACCCATAAACCTGAACGTGCTGGGGCACATATTCATAATCCAAACATATTGTTCATAGACAGGAATGATTTGTCAGTCTGGCTTATTTTTCTTTTTTTTTTTTCCTTTCTTTTTTTCCACACACACCCTGCTCCCCCCCCCTCCCCGCCTCATGTTGCCTGGAGACTTTATGCCTCCTGCTGTTGAGTTACCTGGAATAGCGACGTAGCCCTGGCCATCCTCCAGGCTGGTGAAGAAGGAAGTGTGCTTGGTGCAGCTCGGAGCCCTTCGCCATAGGAGCAGGCATTTAGGGACCTGCAGCCAGGTCGAGCAGTAAGTGCCCAGGCAGCAAGCTGGATGGTGCCCAGGGGCAGTGGTGACAGCCGAAAGCAAGACCTTCCCACGGCTTCAGTGGGGCAAGAATGGAAGTTTCCCACATGGGAACGAGCTGCTGCCACTAACGGGAGACCACATTTGGGTTTTAAGAGACCCGCTTGTCAGAGTAGGTGAGGACTTTTCCCTTAGATCTGGCCCTTCAGATCAATAATGCTGGACAATTAATTGACGTCTAACGTTTTCAAAGCATGGCACAGCTAGTCAGTAATGCCATGAACAGTTTGTCCCCAGCTGTTCTGTGGATTTCAACACTGGGTTTCCTTTTGCTCTGAAGAGGCTGAATTCCCGAGGCTTCACCAGCTACTTGCGTATAGGATTTGCTGTGTGAAAACAAACCTATCTTGAGCTTGTTTTTTTTATTTGCTTGAAGTAGCTTTCCCACTGGAGAAGGTGCTTAAAATCTCAGAGTGATGATGGTTGCCCTCAGCTTACCTGAGGCCACTAGTAGTCAGACAGTTCTTGAGGTGTTTCCTCCTTCTGTAGGTGATACATTAGGGCCGATACATTTATCTTCCTTTAGAGGATAAATCATTGTGTGGAAAAATATGCAATAGCAGCACTAATGAAGAAATAGAAACCGGTGAAGAATAATGTAACTCTTCTTTATCTCATAAAAAGCCTAGTGGAGAAAACAGGATTCTTTGTGAAGGTACTCTGGGATTTTAGCAATGGCTGTGCTCCTGTTTCCTTAATTACCATGAAATAAAATTTGCTGTGAACAGTTTTGGAGTGTTGCTGTTTAACAGTTCTTAAGGTGTTTCACTCGCTTTTCATGTTGATGTTTTGAGATTTTTATGTATATATGTATATATGTACACACACGCTTCCTAGAGCAAGAGTTAATTCTTGATTCTCCCTTATGAGTTTTCTTTTTCAGGTTGTGTGGGTTAAATGTTTAGGGAACCACTTGTAGCTCTCCTTTCTTGTCCAGACTGCCTCTTACAATCTCTTTGAGCCTCTTTTCACATTGATTCTTATGCCTCTTAGAAGAAGCAGCCTATGCCCTTTTTCCTGAAATGTTTCTTTTTAAAGTCTGTCAAAGGATGATCAAGTGGGGCTCAGCTACAAGTAACTATTGTTTTCCTCTTGTAATTTCACTTAGATTTTTGGAACACATTTGTTGGGAAGAGGCTTTTTTTTTTTTTTTTTAAATTGATTTTACTGTCAAATTTCAATCTTTGGGTTTTTTTTCTCCTAAAACCATGTATCATGTATCTGTCTCCCTAATTAAAGCTCTTCTGTCCTTCTGTTTATTAGGGAACCATCCTTGATTACACTATAGATTGAATTTCTCACGACTGTTTTATACTTTTACTTTCGTGTGGGTTAGAGCTTGGTAATGTTTAAAAGTAAGTATTATCTAAAGAAACCTGACAGATCTTTGGCAAAATGAAGTTGGCTCTCATACATGTGAAGTCACTTGGAGTGACTACAAGCCTTCCATTCCTTTTAAGGGGAGCGTCTGTCATACACAACAGTCCAGTAATTCTTACTTCCGTCGCAAAGATGGTACCCATTACGACAATGTGAATTAGCCTGCTATTGCAACTTTGTCGTACAGAGTGAAGTTGGAAGCAGCTGACAATTCTGCACTCCAGAGGGACAGAAACAAAAGGGTTATGAATTCTCTTTAGGCATGGACACAAAGCTGGATCTGAATTTGTAAGGAAGTATCCTTACGTGAATGTAATATGCCTTTTGTAAAATGACATTGGGATAAACTGAAATGTTGCAGAAGGAGGAGGGGGAGTTTTCAGAATACGCAAAATCAGGGTAAAGCCTTTGGTACACTAATATATGTCGGTGGCTGCTGTTGCAGGTTTCAGAGAGCAAGGTACGAACAGAAGAATGAGGAAAAGCAGATAAAATTCTGGTCAACTACCACACATAAAAATTAATTTTAAGGTATTCTTTTCTTCTCGTTCATAGCATGGCCGGACCCCCCTGCATCTTGCTGCCCACAAGGGTCATCTCCACGTTGTCCAGGTTTTGCTGAAAGCAGGTTGTGACCTGGATATTCAGGATGATGTAAGTAGACACAACCTTCTTGCTTGGAGTGGAGGGGAAAAGGTTTGCAAATAACAGTAGACCTTCACTTCTTTGAAGCAGGATTAAATTAAAACAAAATCTGTCTCCCTCTTCTAATTTGGAGATGTAACCTCTAATTTGGACATGCAAAACTGCATGGGAGACAGTGCTAAATGTGGTGGTTTTCAACAAATAGCTTGGTCCTCTTGCTCAAGCTGCAGAGCTTTATAAGAGCTCTGGTTGCGCCAGGCGGGTGTGAGTAGCAGTGAGAGTCGTTGTCTGCCCCTCGGTGTAGAAACGCCATAAGAGTTCGTTGTACTCTGTGGGAACCCACTGGGGACATCAGGTAGGGGACACAATCTGTTGTGATGTTTGCCTGAAGTGGGAGATGCTGTTTGTGTAGACACGTGCCGCAGCGTATAGAGTACTGAGCGGCTGCCTGGAGCCCTGTGCAGCGTCACAGGGAAACCGTCCTGTTGGCAGCCGCCCTTGATGTGGGGGTGGTCGCATCTGTGAGGCTGTCATGTGGTGAAGCATCAGCACAGCGAAACCAGCTTTGAATGTAGCAAATGGTGGTTTGTTTTCATTCAGTAAAATGTGTAAATTATCGGAATTTCTTGGTTTTCCGTAAGAATAGTTCTAAGCTTGGACCAGGCTTTAAGGCACATTGGAGTGACTGGTGACATGATTTGAGTTACCTCACTCTGATGAACAGAGGTGTAGGCTGAAATGTGCAACAGCAATTGAAGAACTATGACTTCTTCAGATTTGTTACTGACTTCTGATAGCACACTGGAACAAGTTTGAGGAAGGGCTGATTTTGTTCCCCCTTAATAAATAAGGTGAAGGTTCTTCAAAGGACCTAGAGGTCCAAAGGTGGTTAGTAGAGGCACCTGTATGACTATTAAAAAGACACTGGAAATGTCTAGGTGCCTTTTGAAAATCCCCTTAGGCATTTGTTTGCACCTAGAGAGTCTTAAATATCTACAGAAATGGAAAACTGGTTTGCTTCTCTGCATGAGTAGCTGCTTCCCTGTGAGACATGAGCAGTCTGTCTGACAAGCTTAGGCCTGGGGTACTGGTGCAGCCAGCTTTCTACTGGGAAACTTGTTTTTCTAGGACGAAACTTTGCTTCCTGCGCTCTTTATTCTTTCCCTGTGCCTATCTGTGAAATGGAGTAGATTTGCAAGTGTAATGGGAGTATCAGTTTATTCAGATGTATCCTGAGTATGTTTTTTAACTGCTCCCAGCAAAAATGATTCATCAGGTATTTAAGACAAAATTGCAAGTACTTTACAAGTACAGTCAGTTTTCCTGAGAAAAGCATGTTGCTGCTCTAAGAACGCAAGAGCTTCCACTGATTTGGTCAGATTTGGTTTCTGTGAAAATTGTTTTTTGAGTAAGTCTGGGTTATTTTTAATCCTCTAGTAATAAAATCTAAGCTGTTAGTATGTAAACATGATAGCCATAATGGAAAACTGGTAAATCAGTGGTTAGCATCATTTCAGCTTAGCAATAAGTCTTGCACTGTAGAAATATGCAGCTCGTAGAAGACCTATTTCACTTGCCTTGCAAGCTTCTCAGCTTTGTTCACAATGACTGGATACCACTTCTAAATGTGATCACTAGTCTGAGCAGGATGGATGCATACTTGATTCACAGATATTGTTTCTTTAAAATGTATTTTTATTTTAGCTCTGGATTTAGTACTAGTAATTTGATGGGAGTTGAGGAGAGCCTCAGGAGTTGCTGAGTCTCAGCGGGTATGTTTGGATTTGTCTCAGAGGAAGAGGAAGGCTAAAACTCCAAGTGGAGATTTTTGCTTGTGAAAGGTATTAACTAAAATATTTCTGCTTTCCTTTTACATAGGTCTTCAAAGAAGGTTCTCTATTTCTGGTTTCTCCTTTTTACACTTTATTTAATTTTTAATTTGTTTTTACACTTTATTTATGCCCCACAGAATATGTTCATATTCTCTTTTGGTTGCAATCTATTGATTATGCCTTCTGTCGCTTTTACTGTTTACTTACTTGGCAGTGAAGGCATCTTAGTTTCAAGTGTTGATTAACATCTGTACATTTCATTGCTGTTTTTCAGAAATACAGATTTAGGTTCAGAGATGAAATCGCTCATGAGAGTGGGGAGTATCATATTTAACTGGAAAGTAATCGCTTACTTGATTTTTGTCCGTGGCATTGTTGTGATGACACAAAAAAATCTGCAGGTTCTAAAAAGATTACCTGTATTTTATTTTTCTAAATAACAAGAGAAACCTAAACGCACTTTACTTTGGAGTTGACTCTCTTTAGCTAATGAATGAATGCAAGACTAGCTTTTCATCTGCCACAGGATAAGCAGAAACTTCAAAGTTGCTAAAAATTGTGGAGAGATTAAAACACTCACTTCATGTTCTACAGATACATTCTTTAAAACATGATAAGAACCGTGAGAATTAGTTGAAGAATGACCTCCAGTGGCCTGGAGTGGGATTATTATGAATTTCAACCGGTGGAGTCCAGCTCTGTAGAGTACGGCACCCCAGGAGCTAACTCTTTCCTTCTCCCTGCCAATACTGAAAAGTCTTACTGGGATCCCAATGCCATCTCTGAGTGGTCAATGAGTATCCATACAGCACGCACCTCAGAAATAGTCAAGGAGAAAGTTGTCCCGGTGAAGGAAATCAAGGACGAAAAAGATAAGAGAAACCAGAAGAGAAAGGCTAGGAAGGAACCTAGAAGATCAGAAAGAGAGAAGGAGGTTAGAAATCTTGTGCATCAACCCTGCCTTGAGCTTGATGTCTCCCACAGCTGCATGCTGCAAAACCTTGGCCTGGCAGTCTGGCATGACCGAGCTCTTCTGCGGTGCATGGCTGCATGGTGGGCTTTGCGCTGGGTGCTCTGCATCAGGTTCCCTGCCCTGTATGTGCTCTCTGAAAATCTAACTGGGAAAACAAGTTGGTTTAAAACAAAGGCCTGAGGCCCTGAAACTTCCCTTCTGGAAGCTCCAGTTTAAGAAGCAGAAAATTAATTTCAAATGGAACAATAATCCAGTGTTCATAATAATTTCTGGCTGAATGTAAATATGTGAAGTGGCTTATTCCTGTACTCCCATTTCAGTCTCATTTAAGCTGAATTTGTTTCGTTCATGATTATTTTTTAATGCCTTGATCACTTCTGCTGGTCATGCATCATCATTTATCGTTCAGAGTGAAGTTGTTCTTATCATGATGACAGCCTTTCTTTAGCAAAGGAGGAGTAGAGCAGCACAGTGACGTTGACAAACACTGGGGCACGTTCAGTTGCCTTTGTGTACAGCTGTTTCAGGATATCCATGAATGTTTGCTGCTTCGAGTATTTAACGCTTGGTTATATTTTAACTTTAAAATATCTTGAACTTTCTACTGTGAATTTAGTGGTTTGATTTCATAGTATAAGACTTTGCAAGTGCCATCCGGCACTTTGTATCAGGGATTGAAAGCATGAGCTTTTGCTGGTTATTTTGGTGCAGTTCTCCTGTAGCAAGAAGGTTTATTTGGTGATTTCTGCAAACATGGAAAGACAGTGAGGAGGCAAAGCGTGACACTGGAGAGGGACTTTAAAGGGGATTGTACAACTGATGGACTCTCTGGAGAACAGGAGTGTGCAGAAAAAAAATATGGTGGTTATAGTTTTTTAATCAGAGAAAGGGAAAAGTAACTTGTATTACAAACTAGTGTAAACTAAATCTTGTTAAATTTGGGCAGTAGAGTCTATAATAGACACTCCAATAACCCAGGACAGTTGGCAGAATTACTAATATCTACCTGAAACCCTTTTGTAAGTTGCTAGTGGTGTTTCCTTTCACTTGGAGTAAACTTCAGATGTAAAATAGATGCCTAGTTCCTAGCTGCCTGGTCCCAGTGGTTGCATCCTCTCCTTTAAGTTAGTCAGCAAATGAGGAAACTCGAGGAGGTAACTGCAAGTGCCAGGACACTGAGCAAGCACCACCAGTCTAGCCAGCACAAAAGTGCTAAAGGAAAGGGTAATGCCAAAATTCGTGGAGAAGGTCAAGATTTAGGTATCTGCTTTTCTTCAGGACCCCCAGCTTATAACCCTCTCCTGCAAGCAGGTGTTTAAGCTCTCTGTAAAGAGCATGGTTTCACCCCTTGGAAACGTACCTGCTGGTGCTGGGCCTTGCTGTGCAATAGCCCCGTCACATGTAGAGCTCTCACGATGTGCAGTCCTGCATCCTTTGCACGAGGGGGGTGCAGGCTCCTATCCCAGTCTCCCAGCATCTTCCTCTCTCTAGCCCAGTGAATATCGAGATTTTTCTTAAAAGTGGAGCACTTTCAACATAGCAGTGCTCTCATGGCAAGACAAGCTGGGCAAGTACTGTAACCTCTGGGCTGCTGCAGAAGAGCCAGCAGCCACCTCCTTCGCTGGCCTCGTTTCAAAGGGTGGTGGGCGTACCAACTTGCGTGGAGCTTCTTCCAGCAAGCGTGTAACAAGGGTGCTCACAGGGTGAGAGAGAGGAGGGGAGATGGCTGCGTTAGGGTCTGCAGCAGGGTGGGGTGTGTGCTGCGTGTTGACCTCCGTGGTGCCACCACGACTGCAGTGCCCTGTGGCAGTGTGCGAGCTGAGATGTCCAGAGTGTTGGAGTGGAAACGCCTGAGTTTGCGTTGCTTTCAGAGCTAGGCAGCAGCCGAGGAAGGGGATTTGAGATGCACCAGTGTAGACTTAAGTGCCTTGCTTCTACCAAGCCTCACTTAAGCACATAAGTGTCTTTTTGGCTTTGGGCCTGCATCTGCACTTAGGCAGACTGTTGTTTCTGTCAAGGTCACATCTGCGTGACACAGCACAGGAGTTATCTCTCTTCATTGCTGCTGATCTGCAGTCTGTTCCTAAGGCATAAATCACTTACAAATAGGATCATAAATTGTGCCCAACATAATAGTCTGGGCAGTTAATATGCATTTACCGATGTAATTGCTCTCTGAGCCTCTGGAACAGCCCCCTAATGCCTGAACTCTGATGAGTGCTTTCAGAGACAGTTATTTTAGCAATTAATAAAAAGATGCACGCATTGGTGATTACGCTGCCTGAAAATTCACACTGTGAAAAAAAAATATAGCTCATTTGTTTTCTCTGACTCCGTAAGAGGCAAGATAGGGGTTTGCTCCTCTGCAGATGGGGAGGCGAGACAGGTTAGAAATGCAGCGGTGCAGGCAGTGTTGTTTATGGGTGGGCTACGCCGTCTGTGGCTGGGTTGCAGAGCGAGTCACGCGCATAGGCCATTGCAGTCTGGTCGTTCAGCACCTTAAGCAGTTTAAGATTAACGTGTGCTGAGGTCCAAGGGAATGGTTGACTAGGTCCTGCCCTGCTGGCTGTGGGGCCTGGGGGCGGTAGGACCTTCACCAGGACATTGATTCCTGCCATCTTTTCACTGGGAGGTGCCTCAGACCAGGTGGCAGGGTTTGAGATATCCTTTGACATTCCCTGTTACATGGATGAGATATTTATTTACCTGGTCATGGTGCTGGTTGGACCTTACTCTTAGATGCTTGGCTCTCCCCGTGTTTGCACAGGGAAGACGTTAGCACCAGAGCCCACACCTTAGGCAGGAGGCACCTGAGCCTGCCATCTGTGGAACTTCTGTCCCTTAACCTACTCAGGCTTCCATTTCAGAGACCAGAATATAGTATGGCACAAAGCCTGGGCATGGCTGAAGCTGTACCAGTGCCGCTCTGCAGCCCCAGTGAATGGCCCTCAGCACCCCCAAGGGAGACCTGCTCCTGTAGCAGTGAGGTGTGCTTCCTGCTTTCAAATATGTGTTTGTTTTTAAATTTAACTGAGATGCCATTAGAAGTATCACAGAATTCACACAATCACGGAACGTTAGGGGTTGGAAGGGACCTCAAAAGATCATCTAGTCCAACCCCCCTGCCAGAGCAGGACCACCCAGAGCAGGTCACACAGGAACGCGTCCATGCGGGTTTTGAATGTCTCCAGGGAAGGAGACTCCACAACCTCTCTGGGCAGCCTGTTCCAGTGCTCTGTCACCCTCACAGTGAAAAAGTTTTCCCTTATGTTAATGTGGAACCTATCATAGGTCATATCGACAAACCCCAAAAACCTGAATGGCCTTTGACCTCACTGCAATTACTGTGGTGGGGTTGGGCTAGTGACAAGAACAGCCTTGGTTTAAACTAGCCCAGTGAGAAGATCCTTAATTACAAACTCAATCCAATGCAATCCATTCCTGCCCCCAGTTTGGTCTTCTCCACAATCAATTTTCCAGACTGTAAAGAAGTAGGAACCAACCATTCATCGTTCAAGCTCTGTCCATCATAATGGCAGATGTCGTCTTGTTTTAGTCTTTATTATGATGCTGCTCGTGCAGCAATACCAATTTGCAGGGACAGGTTGATGGATTACTTTCCACTTCGTGGTAGTCAGATAAAATGACCTTTGCACTGTCCACATCACCCACTGCTGCCGCAGCAGTAGCTGTGCCAGTCATCAGTAACATGTATTACCAAAAAAGGATGTTAAGCTCTTCCCTGGCTTGTTTGCGAGCAGATTTCTGTGTAGTAATCATTACTGGAAACTACCTAACACTTGTGAGGTGGTATAATTTGTATGTTTTCCATAACATTTTGTTTATCTTTAAGTTTGGAACAAATACACAAGTTCAGAGAACTTGCAGTGCTGTCAGTTTTCCAAAACTGTTTTGTATTTTTCCAAAAGTCCTAGTTCCTGGAACTGTTACTGTCTTTGTTCAAAATCTCTTAAAATACATTTCCAGTCTTAGTAGGAACAAGAACGAAATTAAGAGTGTGTAGCCTCTAGAGACAAAACATAGATACCAATTTTTTTTAAAAAGCCTTCAACACAATTTTTAAAAGTCAGTTTCATGATTACAAGCCAATGTAGTGATTTACTGGTGGTGGGAGTTGGCATTGTACAGGTTACTGAAAGGTTGTGATTGGCAGTGCTCATTTTTCCCTTATGGATTAATAACTATGTTGGTGTCATTAACACAAAAGAACCCCACCAAGAGCAATTTTAATGTCAGGTGCTAATTGCCTTTGACAACAAATTATTCAAATTATCCAGTTATCTGAAGGCTTGTAGACTGTAGGACAGAAAATTCCTTCAGTTTTAGTATTTAATACAATGCAGGATTATCTGATAAAGATTTGTAGCAGTGAAATTTTGTATCTATTTAGGACTAGCTTCCTGCAAGCTTTTTTTCCTCAGGATACACTGCATATCTCTGCCCTGCGTGTGATTTTGGTGACCGTTACCTAGATAAGCAGCAGTAGATTGGATTCCCACTCTGTTTATTCATCCCCCAAAAAGGCTGTGTGCAGCTCTGAAGCTAGTCTTTGTGCCTGGCCTCAGGCTGTGCCTCAGTGTTGCAGGTTCAAAGCAACTTCAAAGGAAAGCCAAGAGCGGGTGTTGTGGCAGGCGGCACTGAAGCTCATTTTCCCGTCAGTCAGTGTCTTACATCCATACATGCTGCTGTGTAAATCCTCCCATTCCCCCTCTTCTATGACATTCTCACCAACATGCATATAAAAATATGTAGATAACCCCCGATGGGCAGAGCCGGTAGTTTGTGTCTCCCTAATCTTCAGTTTCTGGAAGGCTTACAGAAAATTCATCTTGGACTTTCTAGCTCAGCAAATGAGGTCAACAGTTAGAAGGGAGATGATAGACAGGCAGTCAGACTAGATGACTGCATCAGCGTAATTTCTTTTGGAAACTTGGCTATAAAGGAAATGAACTGATGTAAGAAACTTGCTTGTTGCTGCTACGTGGCAGGTCAATGGGAAATGAAAGTTGTTTGGACCTCCAGATCGCTCAGTTGCTTGAACGAAATAAGTGGATGGTCTTGCAGTTGTGGTCCTCATCATAAAATTGCCTCCACTCTTAGCACTAATTTGTAAATTCATCAGAGGTGCTGTAAAGACCGATCTCATCTCATGCTCCTTATCGTAAGCAGGGCTGATGGAGCAATTAGAACCAAAAGAGGAGAGCCTCATCCACTTAGTGTAAGTACTGGAGGATCATTATGATGAATTACGACAGCCTGTAATTCCCTTTAGTTCCCTACAGATACTGTTGATTATTAGACACGTAGTGCCAAATGCATTAGATTCACTGCCTTCTAATACTACCGTATTGTTGAACGCTTCAGCGCTGTGTATGGGATTGTGATGACTTGCAAACTTCTGTAAACAGTTGGTTTGTAGCGCTCTGATACTTTTAATAACTTCATTAATCTTGGAAACTTTTATAATAGTTGTTTACGGGGATGGTTGTCAAAGGCAGCTTGGATTTAAACAGTATGTGTGTTGAAGATGAAGCCCCTGTGTGAGTTGTATGCATTCGCATTGGGTCCAAGTGAGGTGGGAGTGGTACCGATGACAAATCTGCTTCTTTTTGCAGGGTGATCAGACAGCATTGCACCGGGCTGCTGTCGTAGGGAACACCGATGTTATAGCAACTCTGATTCAAGAGGGGTGTGCTTTGGACAGACAAGACAAGGTAACAGGCAAAAGCAAGCCCTGTGGGATGGCAGCCTTGCCAGCCAGCAATGTTAAGGTATCAGAGAGAAAGTTACGGTTTATATTCCTGAGTAAGTATCTGAGGCTTTGAAAGCAATTGGAATAGTTACATTGAAAAAAATACCATCTCTTTAGTGTAAATTACTGATTTAGTTGGGTTTTTTGTATCAGGCTGATAGTTTTTGATTTAAGAGTCTGTTCTCAGCTCATTAAGGGAGGAATTAAAGAAATGTCCAACCATAGTATGCCCTATGCAAAACACTGCACAGTTTCTCTTGATTATCTCAGAAACAGAATCCCTGGCTGTAAATTTAGTTTGGGAGCAAATATAACTAATTCCAAGTCCCAAACAAAGGAAATAACAATATTTTTACCTTATTCTAAAAATAAAATATAAAATAGCCTAGTAGGAAAGGAGAATGTTTTATTTTTGAAGTGAGCAGGTGGGTCATGCAGCTGCTATGTTCTGAATGTAAGGTTACTCTGTGTGTGGACACAGCACACTAACCTGCTCCTCTTGTGTCTGTGCTCTTCAGGACGGGAACACTGCTCTTCATGAAGCTTGTTGGCATGGATTCAGTCAGTCTGCCAAAGTGCTCGTTAAAGCGGGAGCCAACGTTCTTGCCAAGAACAAGGTGAGGCCCGTGCAGGAGGAGTTTTCAGTTCTGGTGTAAGGTGGCTGATTCTCAGCACTGGAGATTTCTGGCCATGGCACTTCTCAGCAGGCGGGGGACCAGCTCCTAGTGGGATTTTTTTCTTCTTTTTTTTTGCATTGATTACGCCTGGATGGTTCCTCCACAGGCATTAGGAAATTCATATTTCTACAGCTGACGCAGGAGGAACCCAATAGCGCATTGAATGATACATTTATTACAGCTGAGGAACACTGCAATTCCTGTGGAAATCTCCACGGTGCTCTAATTTATACCAAGCAGATTCATTGTGATTGGTGTCATTTAAAATGAAAATGAATTGTACTAATAGGAAAATGACATTCCAAATCCATTTTTTCTTTAAATTAAACAGCCAAAGCAATGTAAGCCACAGAGGGGAACAAATAGCGTATCTTTTGTTAGAAAGGTCTTCCTAATATTTTAGTGTAGGCTCTTGCCAAATCTTGTAATGTAACTAAATTATGTTCCTTTTGTATTTATAAAACCTTGAGAGCAGTTTAGAGGAAAGAATAACAAAACAAGGGGTTTTAGTTCTGCTCTAATTGTAACACGTGTGGGAGGCTTCTCTTTGATTCACTAATTCAAAAGTTAATGGAATATCCTCGGAAATGGCAGTAGCAGCCTATTGTGTGAGCTGAGTCAGAGTTTGGGCTGCTGTGCCCGTGGTCAGATCGCACGGTTGGCACCATGTCCTTCATTACACGCAAGAGGGCTTTGGGTTGGCTTTACGAGACCTCTGAGCACTCTTTGGTAAAAAACCTGACAACTAAAAGGGTCGTGTGAAGAAAGGGGAGAAAGGAGACAGCTGGACACAAAGTCTAAGATCTTGAGTGAAAAGGCACATTGCCTGGGCATGGTGTTTCCGTATGCACATGAGTATATATGCAGTACATATTCATATGTTTGTACAATTGTCATCACTTTGTGGTCTGTGATTACACCATCTTTGATATCATTTTAAGTGTATTCCTTCTTTAATATCATTCCAACTTCCACTTTTTATTTTCTGTAATTATTTTTGCTGTAACATTCACCTAGATTTGTATCAAAGGTACTCAGACAGCTTCCCATGCTTGACTTCATAGTCTTGTGAACCATTATACTCCTAACTCTGGATACGCTTGTCTGTGTATATACATATACTTCTGTACAAAGGTGTGGGCTTAAGATGCAAGTCTGGTTATCCTGCATGCTTGGATGCCTCGGGTTATTAGAAGATTTAGCTTACAATACAGCCTGTGTCAACTGGAGACAGCCTCTCTTGGAAGGCTTGTGCACAGAATAGCTGAGTGGGGTTGATGTCTGAAATATGACCAGCAGACTTTAATAACTGCATGAGCAGCTTCTGCGCTGGTCTTTGATGTCTTACCCGCACAATCCTCTCCCTTTGCATTTCACTGTTTGGGTGCTTTTGAATGGACACGATCTTTTCTCAGGAGCTGCTGAAAAATGCGGGAATTGTGCGTGCTTGCACACATGCACACGCCTTTACCCCTTTTGATTTCAAGAAAAATTAAGAGCTTAAATCTACTTAATCCCAAAATGGTTTCTCTGGTCTCTCAACTTTTTTCGTTACTGACGACAAGGCATAATCTTTATGACAGCTTTTCTGGCAGCCAGGGCTGAGTGCCATGTGCAGGGGAACCCTATGGGCTGTTGACATACACACGGGCATCGTGTGATTTTTGTCCGGATGGGACAGATACAGGCTGCTGGATTTGACAGACCCTGCTATGCAGCAGAACTCGTGAGGGATTTGACTCTATATTTCCTATAACTCCTGCTTAGTATCTCCTGGGACTGCCTGGGGGACGCTTGTACGGATGCACTTCTTGCACCGCAGGACCTTGCGCACAGTATGTACAAGAGCAGTGCAATTGAAGATGGCTTCTATATTAAGTGAAATGCAGAGGCCAGACAGGACACCTGGGATTTTAAAGGCGAGTCAGGCATTTGATTAATGGCAGAACACATGGGTAAAGCACCTCGGCAGCTGTATTCCTCCTGTGCAGCAGTCACCTTGGAGGTGCAGTTTATTTTCCGTCAAGTTGGCTTAATAAAAACTCTACGCTGTGATAGATCATCCCATGAGATCAGGTGTAGCCTTCTTTTTAGATCCTACATCAGTCTGTGCATTTCAGTGAAGATTCAGTAGACCAGTGAAGACCCCCAGATCGGTACAAGTTGGACCCACTCTCCCTCTCACAGAAGCTGGTGAGAGATTTGTCACCCCGTGGGAGACGAGCCAGATAAGCCTGCTCTGTGAGCCCTGGCCCCAGGCACCAGCACCATGACTTCTCCCAGCACTGAGGTCCTTGTCCATCACCTACTGCACAGGACCTCTCTGCCTTCCCTCCAGGGCCAACCTTCCAAACAGCAAATGACAAAGACCTTGCAGAGGCTTTTCAGAGATAAACCCAGGAGGGAAAAAATTGACACTTAAATGCCACTTAGCTGAGAAAGAAAATGTTCCTGTGCACCGCAGCTTAGAGACTACATTCAGGCCTGAAATAGCCTGTAAGGTGGAACTGAAGACCTAAGACCATGTCTAAGAGTTGGCCTTTTGTAATTCAAACTCTGTAGCTTTGATCTGTGCCTTGAGAGCACAGGGACAAATTAAAGGACATAACCAAGGTGAACAGGCAGCCTAGTAAGTGTGGGAAACGTTTTTACCTGTGCTGATTTCATTTCTAGCTCCCAAGAGCCAAAAACCCCAAATGTTTTCAGGCCAACAAAAGCCAAATGCTGCCAGAAAAACTTGTCAGACCAATAAAATCCTTCACAATGTTAGAAAGACAATACACAAGCAAACTCTTCTTTGATTTCTGTCCATAAAAAAATGCATGTTTACTTCTTCCAGGAACTTTAGCATGTGATTCTCTGGGGTTTGGGGCAGCTTTTTGTTCCCTTGTTCTTATCTTGGCTGGAGACAGGTGTACTTTCTGAACATTGAAGCTTCCTGACAACCTAAAATCTGAATCCTGCCATGTGAGAGCACCTACAGACCCAGCCAGACTTGGAGCTGGTTTGTGTTAGAATTGTAAGGAGACAGAAATCGTTGTGACCCTCAAGTGCCAAACACCCTGTGGCAGTCGTGGCCAGCTTTGCCTGAGATCAGAGGTGTGGTACCATGGCAGCATGTTTCTTTGTGTGCGTGCGTGCATGGGGGAAACCCAAACCACAAGAATTATATTTCTTTAAATAAAACACTTGATAGTGCTGTTTGATATTAATGAACCAGACAGTTTCTAGAGTCTTCGCTTCCTGCAAACAGATTTGACCAATGCAGATATCATTAGACTGTCCAATTTCTGCCTTTACTATATCCCAGATAAACCATTTCCAGGATGAAGAGGGTATTTCAGTCTCCAGGTTCATTCAGCCCGTATCTTTGGGAAAATAACAGTTACAGTTTCCCACCCCTGGGTGGATCTTCTTGAGAAAGACGTGTGAGATTTTATTTTTTAGTGCTTATGTCCAGTTTTGAAATACGGCTTTTATATTTTCCTGTATTTCTCTAAGGCAGGTAACACACCTCTTCACCTGGCTTGCCAGAATAGCCATTCCCAGAGTACTCGTGTTTTGTTACTTGGAGGATCTCGAGCAGATCTCAAAAATAATGTGAGTTTTGAAAAGGACGTTTTTGTTTTTATGTGCCTTTGTTTTAGCTATATTGCTTTAACTTGTAGAAATACTCAGAAATGCTTTAAGCTGTGATTTATTTTTTTTTAAATTTTTTTAATAAATGCTTTTGAAAAAACCCACTAATGAACCATTATATGTATATACCATGTACAGAAATGTTTTTGATAGGACTGAGCGATGCACTACTCATACCCATCTCTTGAGTAGGGATGGAGGGAGCCAAAGGGGGTTTTGCTGTTGCACAGACCGAGGTAGCTGGTCCTTTGCTGCTTTTTGGGGTCCTGATGGCCTGACCCATACACTGTTGTGCAATTCTGCAAAAGGGCTGCTCTCAAAAAGATGGAAAACTTAAAGGGGTTTTATGTCAGAGCAGCGAAAGTCTTCAGACCTATGCCCACTGAGATGGATAATATATACTCTGTGTTGGTCTGTCAAATGAGGTAGATTCAAGGTGACTTCAGTTTCAGACAGCTTTCCTCCTATTTTATAATGATTCTGGCATAACAAACAAACCAAAAAAAATCTATAAAAGGAAGCCAGCTGGTGTTGACCCTGCTCAGTAACAAGGTGGGCAGAGGCACACAGAAATGGAAACCGTGGGGCTCTGCTCCCAGCTCGCAGTCCCAGCTGGGTGTGTGCTACCCCTCATGGGGACACTGCTCTGGCCCCCACTCATCACGGGTTTTTTCATGATGTGCAACACCAGGTTGAGTTCCCAAATGACATTTGTTTGTGGTTCAGAAGAACGGATTTAATGTAAAAATGTAAATCAGCTTTTGTAGTGCAGTAAACCAGCATTTTATAATTCCGGTATTCCCCGTCAGTGGTCAAAGAGTTCGTAGCCTCACCTTGCCTGACCCCAGCTCTTGCTAAACCTTCCCACCCATGATAGTAGATTTTGGACCGCAGAGAAGACAGCATTGCTGTTCAGGGAAGGTGTGTGGCATTTCCTGCTCTTTTCGGTTTAATAGGATTATTTCATCCCTGAACACCATGACAGGTGCAAGCTTTCTTACTGCGATTACACGCTCAGAGCTTTGTTTCTGTTTGCAGGCAGGAGATACCTGTCTGCATGTGGCTGCTCGTTATAATCACTTGCCCATCGTTAGGGTGCTGCTCAGTGCTTTCTGTTCTGTCCATGAAAAGAACCAGGTCAGTGCATGAACCTCATTGCGACTCTGTGCCCTTTGCATACAACTAGATGTTGGGAAGAGGGATTCCCACCCAAGTAATCCCGCTTCACTCTGTGTTTCACTGTACCACCAAATGCCTGAGCTTTTAAGAATAGCCTTAAAGTAATGGCATATCAGTGGTTTATTATTTTGCCATCGCATCTGCATCATTTCTTTAAAGCATTGCCTATTTATGAGGATCTGCAATCGTACGTTGGTGTAGAAAGGGGGTTTGGGACAGGGGTAGTAGCGTAGAGTTAGGAGTTGGCACTCCTGGGTCCTTACCAGTTCTGTGCAGAATGGGACTGGGCAAGAGACTCAGTCATTTCATGGGGACCCATTTTCTCCTCTGTAACCGGGATTTAATGATCCTATGGCCATTACAGAGAGATTGTGAAGCAGAACTCAGTAACATTCAGATGCTACAAAAGTGCGAATTCCTCTGGAATACTTTTCTTTGACGTATTTTGCAGTAGGGGGAAATGAAAAGGACATGGAAGTGAAGAAAAAGTGTGCTTTGAATTTAAAGTAATGAGCAGTCTAACCTAGGATTAGTCATCCATAGTTGTTTTATAGAGAAGAAATTGACTGTTGTGCATAGGCTAATTGGCTGGTAGAAGGGAATGGATTTAGTACATTAAAATGTGTTAAGTTTGCTAAATAAACAGATTATGTGGTGCTTAACCACACCGTCTCATGTTCCTGGGAAACTTTCCATGTGTAGTTGAGGATCATAAAAATGTTTTCGATCTGTACATGTAATCTTGTTTCTTAGATATGAGATACTACAACAAACAAAATGGGTTTCAGCATGTTAAATTTACTGTGCAGTTTTATTTGGAAATGAGTTGTTTAACTTGCAAAATGAGCTACTGAATATTAAGATTAACTGGTGTGAACCTGGGCTAGAGAGACACCCCTTTCCTTCATTCCCCAGCACTACCTGAAATTGTTCCATATTTGCACATACAATGATTTTATTTAGGAATACACCTCATCCAAGTTAGCAACAAGCAATAGATTTCCACTAGTCTCGAGGAGAACTAATTTTCTGAAGAAAAAATGCAAGGGAAAGGAGACAGGAGGGCATTATATACATGTCAGATCTCCCTTGAACAGCTGCTGGCCTTGTTACCAGTGCCTGAATCTGATCACAGCCGTCTTCACCTCACTGCACCGGGACAGGGGCAGGGCAGTGTGTTAGTGCTGGACCCAGATTGCCTCCTGGCTTCAGTCCAAAACACTGCTTTTCTTGTGGAATTTCATGAAGAGAACACCAGCCATCTTGCTGCTGGTACTTACCTGATTTCTTTTTTTTTTTTTTTTTTTTGGACAAA